ATTCGTTTAGACGCCACGTCCATTCCGGCCGGCGAAGTCCCGGCAAGGAAACAGATAAGGTTATGGCTGCGTGGTCGGAGAGCGTGATAGCGCCGACTGTTGCGCTAAGGACGTTGTCTAGGTGGTATTGGTCAATGAGCAGTAGGTCTATGCGCGAGTATGTGCCATGGACACTAGAATAATAACTATAATCCCTGCCGGGGGCGTGGAGTGCGCGCCAGCTATCAATGAGGGCCAGGTTCTGTAGTGCCCGCCGAAAGTGCTTCAGGGCCGCAAAAGAGTGGGAAGATTTCCCCGTGGATACATCCAGGGCAGGGTCAGGGCTAAAATTTAAATCGCCACCCAATATGAGCATACCGTCCGTGAAGGTGAGTAGTTTGGGGAGGACCATATCAAAGAAAGTAAATTGTTCTGTGTTTGGGGCATAGATTACGGCAAACGTGACCTTTATCCCCTCAATGGAGCCCTTGATAAATAGATATCTGCCATTAGCGTCAGAGCATTGGTCCTGAACGTTGAAATGGCAATTCTTATGAATTGCTATAGCGACCCCCCTAGATGTAGCGGAAGGTGAATTACTAAGGTACCATTGGGAGAATAAATGAGTAGGCAGGCGGACGTTAGACGTCGGGGTGAAGTGTGTCTCTTGTAGCATGACTATGTGTGCTTTCAGGTGTTTAAGTTCAGACCATAACTTACTGCGCTTGTGGGGGGAACCGAGGCCCCGGACGTTGTAGGACACTACATTAAGCGCCATCATGGTGAGAGAGCAGGTGGAAGCGGTGGAGGAGGTGGAGCGGAGCAAGGCACACGGACATCCAGCTGACCAGAGGGAATGGACCTAAGGAGAGGCAGGGGATACAAAAGAAACCAAAAATAAGATGAACAACAAGGAATGTACAATGGAACAATCAGAACAAGAATCGCTCTCCTAGCGGGCCACTGCACCCAACCGAGGTGGAGATGGCCCTCCAGGACAGCCATGTCAGAAATCTGACAGGTCTCAAGTATTGAGACAGGTCCTACTTGGGGAACAGGGTAGGGCGCCATGGAGATCGAGGCTCCTATGAAAAAAGCAGGAGAGGTGGGGGCCCTCTGCAACAGGTAAGCTGAAAGTGAAAGGAAAATAAAAATAATTTTTTATTTTTTTTGAGCAGCATAATACAAGAAAAAGAAAACGGGTGCAGACATAGTCAGCAAAGTAAAACATATCAACTAAAACTGGATCCTGGTTAGGGGGGCGGAGTGCTCTGTGGACCCCGAATCTCGATGTGCGTTGCTACTGGTCTGTCTAGAATCTGATTAAAGATGCCTGTCACCGTGGGCAACAGGTCTTGAGGCCTGGTTGCCTCTGGAAGGCCTCGCAGCCGGATGTTAGAGCGACGGCTCCTGTTCTCATAATCATCCAATTGGTTGTGCAGTGCTGCAATGTTAGAGTCCTGCTGCAGCATTTTGCCCTTCAGGAGGGAGATGGTGTGCAGGGCCTCAGCATATTGCGTCTCTAACTTCTCCACTCTCTGGCCCAGCTGTGTAGTGTCGGCCCTGAGGTCAGTAATGGCCTGTTTGTGCGCCCCTTCCACTTGGGAGACAAACGCCTGGAGGTCAGCTTTAGTGGGTAGGGACCGGAGGACAGCCTTCAGGTCCCAGTCTGGGTCCTCTCCGTCAGACGTGGCCGCCTCTGAGTATCCCGATCTCGGGGATCCACCTGGGTCTCTGGGGTCCCCCTCCAGGAGCAGTAAGGGGATCGGGGTGGGACAGGGCATACCTGAAGGCGAGCCGGCAGCATGTGAACCGCCGGGCGCCATCTTGGCTGCGGCCCGGTCGCATGTCCGCCGATCGCGGAGAAAGTTATCCAGCGATCCCCTCGGCTGTTTTGGGGTCTTTCCGGAGGCCTTCCGTCCCCCCATCAAGCATCTTGGGCTGCCGGCAGGCTAAATCGGAGTCGGATGGGTGCGGATGCAGAGGGTCCGGACGGAGCTTGGCTTAGGTGCGACTCTCCGCCATCATGTCCAGGCCACGCCCCCTGATTAAACCTTTTGATGTCTTTATGCCAACGTATCCTGCATCTACTACATCTGTTTGCACTACAGTTAAATCCCTTTTACCATGATTACTTTCATAAACCACCATTTATTAAGGTGAGCAATTCCTCTGTGTTTGCTGGTCTGTTTCAAACTACACATTTTTTCAGACAGCTCCCTACATAGATGATTGTGGATTAGAAGATCTTTCCCTCCAGGTGAGCACTACAATTACAAGATTTAATACATAGACTGTTTTGCCTTGGTGCTCTCCCGACTACACTGAAGGGTGAGAAAATACCTATACTGGTGTTTTGCATTTCTTTGTATTGCTACATCTTTGGATGCTGCAGAGGTCTGTTGTGTCTCTCAATAAATGTTGCGATAAAATACATTGTTGTACTCACTGTACCTTTTCTCCAGTAGTTTATTTGACACACATCCAGCATTTTTTTCTGTGTGTTCTTCTGTTTGTTGGCCATGTTGCTTTGGGTAAGAATGCATTTTTAGAAGGGGATCTTTTTTTTACTGTCACCTTCACTCACTGCTTTCTTTTCCTGGGTAGACGCATTCTGAATGGAGGAATAGACAGCAGGAGGAATTGTGTTTATTTGATTTGCCTTTTTTTTTTTGCCTAACTTTCTAGAGGCAAGGTATATACCCAGAGGTCTGCTTTGTCTCACATAGAGAAATTTAAAAAAATCATTTTAGAGCAAGTTAAAAAATCATCTTCCTTATATCAGGCATTTCTTTAAAAAATGGACATGATGATAATCTCTAACATATCTTAAATGTTTAAATATAAGCAATCAGGTTTAGTTTGAGTCATTTGAGCTCAGTCCTTAAAATTGTCACACTTCTCTGGTATCTGTGCCGGATTATCTCTTTTGTCCAGTTTCCATGTCAGATTTTCACCTCTGTCCTAGGTGCTTGACTGTCAGCCTATGGGGATGCACATGGCTAAAGCCAATCTTCTCACTTCCTTCCCTATTTAGGCTCAGCTCACTTGTTGCACAAGGTTTAAGCAGCGAGTCTGTTTCCTTCTGCTGGACCCTCCTGTTTTCCTAGTGTTTTCCCTGGTAGTTCCTGGTGCTGTTTCTTGATCCCTCGTTACTGTGGATTCCTTGTGTACCCCTGTGGATTCTCTGCGTGGCAGTTTCCCTCCTTGCTGTTCCCTGTCTCCCTGTTTACTCTCAGACCCTTGTGATTCACTGTGGTAGGGCTGTGCATTCACCTATGAGGTGTGAGTGGCCATACTTATCTATCTGCTGATTGCTATCCACTTGTGTGTGCCCTCTCTTCACTCCAGCGTGTCTGCCCTGCTCTCTCTGAGTCTACCTGTGCAGTGTTCCTTGTTGTGGTAATTCCTATTCTTCTCTGTGTTCCTGTATCTGCATTGTGTTTGCGAGCACCTTGCCTGTATCTTGCACTGTGCCTTCCTTGTGGGTATCTCTCTGTATGCCCATCATCACTCCCTGAGAGTCCTCTTCTGTCTCCTTTAGGCCTCCCCATGTGTCTTTCCTTTACAGCTCACTTATGTGTTCGCATTTGTGTGTATCTGCCGCTCTGTCCTGCACCTTTGTATAATGCATGTTCTTTGTGTTGCACGTTCCTATGTATCTTGTCTCCATGTATGCAAGTTTCCTGCATGCGTTCCCCTGAGCATTCTCTACCTCTGTACAACGCACTTACTTGGTGTGCCTTTCCCCAGTGTGTCCTGTAATAAGTCTTTCTTTGTGCACCTGCTGCAACCTTCCTGCACCTCTGGGTACTCTCTTCCTATTGGCCACTAAGTCCCGTGTCCTAATGCTGTACTGTCTTGGATTCCTGCGTTTTCTGTTTGCACTTCTGTTGGCTGTGTCTGCATGGGTGTGTCAGAGGGCCGCAACCTGGGAGCTGCTCTGCCTCACCATCAGAGACTATGCAGAAGACCAGGCTCTCCAAAAACCCTCGCCTCTAGCACATCCATGTTTACTGTGCAGTCACTCTGTTCCCGGTCCCTTGCGTTTAGAGTAGCCAGTTTCCTCCCGCTCTCTAAGACCTGTGTTCTAGGCCCGTTCCCCGTTCCAGAATGCTCCGCAAAACCCGGAGCTCACAATCTTAAGTGCTCCGGGTTCCCAGACCGTGACAACAATCTGTGCATTAATTGTATAGATTGTGTGAGTGTGTTTATTCTTAGGCAGCACACATTTGTTTTGCTGAACATATACAGGTGGCCATGCTGACTAAGCCCTCGTTCACACCTGAACGTTTTGTAGCGCGTTCTACACTCGACGAACGCTCTACAAAACGCTCAAACATCTAAATCCCATTGTATTCAATGGGTCTGGTTCACACCTGGGCGTAGTTCAACCCGTCCCTAACGCGCTACAAAACGGCCCACGCCTGAAAAGGTACATGCACTACTTTGGGCCGTTTTTGTTGCGCGTTTCCATTGGGATACAGCCAAGTAGCCCTCGGAAACGCGCGTTTGTCGCACGTTTTTTTTACCGCGAATTGCGGCAGACGCGCATATGCACTACGCCTAGGTGTGAACCAGGCATAATACTCAGTCACAGGCAGCGACTTGTGTTTTTCGGATCATGCAGAAGACAAAAGAAATAGCTATTAAAGACTGTACTTAAGAACAAATGTAGTCATTCTATGGCTCTATTAAATCCAAGTAGTATCAGCTTTAAAACTAATAAAAACATACACTTTGTGCATGGCTCAGTTATAGGGATATGTTTGATATGATTTAATCTTCCCATCCAATATGCATAGCCATGATGTGTTATTTTATGGTCCCCAGTCAGCTGTTTGAGTACAAAAGAATTGATAGTTCTCATGGCATTCAAGTGTGCTCTTGAGTTGCGTCAATTCTTTTTTTCAGTTTCCAGTCACAGCAAAAAAAGATTTTGGCCTGAAATTTGATTTACACGCATCTACAAAGAGAGCAGAAGTAAATTCTGAAAGTTTTTCCTCTTTGTTTTTACACAGGCATACTCTCAGGATGCATATCTAAAAGGCAATGAACCATTTTGTGGGGTTGCACATAGCATTCCCGCACCTCCTCCTGTCTTCTATCCATGGCGAGGTCAACCTCTAGAGTCTGCTCCTGGATACCCAACAAGCTGTAGATTCCATCGATCTAGCTGTGAGGATTTTCCATCTGTCAGTAGTTCCATGCACAATGAAATCACAAGCGATAGCCCTGATCATCATAACAATTACTCTAGGCCTGTTGCTAATCCTCTCCCTCCACCTCAACCCTACATGACTTCTCCAACTACATCTAACCGATTTAGAGGACCAGGACCTCCATACAATTCTGCCTATGGTTGGACGTCCTGCCATCATTCAGAGCCACCAAACAAAGCTTCTACAAATGTATGCGAGAAGCCAAGTGGCCCTCGCTGGGTGAGTCAATGGGAGCGACACCAAGCACTGTGTAACTGGATGTCCCAGCAAACACCTTGCAAGAGAAGCTCTGCCCTGCCCCCAAGAAGACGTAGTGCCTCACAAGACCGACTGGGAGAAATCACTCAGCAGAGTCATCAGAGTCACTGGCCGCATAGTGTTTCCCAAGATACCCTTCACCAGCCTCTTGATAATGATTCCTGGAGCAACTGGGCACAGTCAGACAATTACTTGCCCTGTACTGGTAGGTCTATTGGGAAATTGGAGTTGAGTGCTTTAATATCGCCCACTTATGAACGGTCTAATTGGTCTTCGGATAGACCTCTTCATACAACTCAAAAAGTTTCACATCATCCCCCATCCCAGACTGTGGTAAATGCTTCCAGGGAAGTAGTAAAACCTAAGACACAACACTCTAGTTCTGTTGACTCTGGATATATTGGGTACCGGAGTTACAGTCCCTCTTTCCAACGTCGGACTGAACACCTGCATGCTTTTTCCTTCAGAGAGACAGGATTCAGCGGTCTCCCAACCTTTAGGTCAGCACATTTTGCAAGTTCTGCCTCCCCAACTGAAAGGAAAGAACCATCCATAAGTATCAGTTCCAAAGATGACAGCAGTTGCACAGAGGAAAAGAGAGAGGAGGTGGTCCTTAGACAGAAGCCACCTTCAGGACGAAAGCCCTCTGCATCTGTGCGGCAAGTCAATGTACTCTTTCCAGAGGAAGGGAAAGATGTGGAGTTTGCCCCTTCTCATGCAGGAAGAGAAGAACTGTCAAGTAAGCGACCATTGCAAAGGATATCACAATTACCATTTTCTGAAGAACCCCTGGCATCCATTCCTTATATTGGTAAGTTTTCCTGCAATATATATAATTTAAAGCGAACATGTAGCCAAGTGCAGCAGGCATACATAACTATAAATATTAAGCTTTGCACCAATACCTCCTTACTAAGCTGCAGGCACTAATTTAGTGTAATAGCAAATAACTGCAAAAAAAAACAATTGCTACACTATATATCCAAACCACTATACAATGTGAGAAATCAAACTGCAACAAATCATGCAATCCCGTATAACATAGTAGCCATGTAAACAAATGTGACACTTATAATTCAACAAACACATATATTTAAATCCTTCAAAAATCACCACCCTTTGGAGTACCTGGCAAGTAGACCTGAATTCATGGTCTACAGAGGAAACATCCCTTTTGCATTACAGGCTGAATAGACCTTTTGATCAAAGTAGATAATCCTCCCTGGTTGTTGTCTCTCTGCAGCAGTAGTACAGACACCTGGATGTAGGGAACCGTCCTCCTTTCCTTCTCCTTATTATACTCCCACATCCATGTGCAAAACAGGATTAGCTAAAATTTGTTTATTAAAAATAACTCGCATGCATCCAATAGAAATCTTCATATAGTAGGCAGCTGCAATCACAATCAAATTCCTCAGCATCCCCACTTGCTTCTGACAGTCTCCTGCTTCACCCTCTCTATGTTACGCCTGTGTGTGACTTCATCAGGGGTGTGGGTCTGGGACTGTCCAATCCGAATACATAGTCATCATGGTTACCGTGGTAACTATAAACAACTCCCGCCCCAGTATTAGTTATTTTCTGAATAGTAAGCTTACGTTCCTGAGAGCACAGTGATAGCCGGCTGCAGCAGCACAGACTAAAAAGCCGGTCCGTCTCCTGCACAATAGCATTGTGCCACATGTTGGAATGGTTTATGATCCGTGCCTCTTACTCTGTCACAGAATAACTGGAAAAACACCTTAGGAGAGAGGAGAGAATAATCTCCTGTAGCTATATACAGGCTTCTAAGTGCTCCTCCACCTCATAAGATGTGACATAGGTGCCAGGCATAATTGAATAAATACAGTGCTACATGTAAATATAATAAAAATACTAAAAGTTAAATATGAGAATATTAAAATATACCACCCATACTCTATACCTATTACTACGAATACCTAACATTTATTTAAACTCGCAAGTTAAAAATTCATAAAATTCGTAGAGGAATACGACCTTTGTTAAAATTTGTTTGTGCACTGTGTTGGTGTGTGTTGCGAGAAAATTATACCGGCATAAATGTAATTGCAATACAGCGTATCACAATGCACGGCTTTGTGTCACAATGCTTTGCCATACGCTGCCACACAATTAAATTAATTTTATTTTAAAAAGAATAAAAATCAAGCACTGTGATGCGTTCTAACAACGCAGCACATGTGCATGGCATACACCACAAAATGGTGCACATGTATGTTATCTGTGTATCGGGGGGTTGTGTTTTTTATATATTTTTTTACTTCGGGCGGGGGGCTTTGGGTAAATATCAGGGGTGTTATGTTATGTGTGTTTGGGTGGAGGAGGGTTGTGTTTTATTTTTTTTATTGATTTTTTATTTTTTTACTGGGGTGGGGGGTCCTAGCTAAAGCAACCATGAACTTACTACAGAATGGTAAAAGCCACCCACGGAAGGCTGTGAATGTACCTATTGTTTTCGCCGTCCTCTACCTGTCGACAGAAGGAGGAGAATATTGCAGGCAGCCTCCACATTGGCAACCAGAACAAGGACAAAAAAGATTTTTAAACCGACCCAGATACACAAGCCCAGAGAAAAGGAATCAGAAATACATTCATTCAAACTTTAAGAGTTCAGAATGGGGCAGGTCAAGTGTCCATGGAGGCCCAGCTTGCAGTACAGACAAATAATTGGTATGCACCCCTAGAGGCTTATAAACGGGCACATATTACAAACCAGTATCAGTGCACAAAAAAAATATACTTTTCCGACTAAATCTAAAAGATAAACCTGTATTGAGTAACAAATATTTGCACCTTTTTGCAAAACGGTAAAACAATGAAGGCGCGCAAAGCTGTAAATAAGCAACTTATGTTAAAAATCGTTTGTGCACTGTGTTGGTGTTTTTGTTGTGATAAAATGATACAGGCGTACATTTAATTGCAACACAGGGTATCACAATGCATGGCAATGTGTCACAATGCTTTGCCATGTGCTGCCATAGTTAAATAAATGTTATTTTAAAAAGAGAAAAATCAAGCACTGTGATGTCTTCTAACAACGCACCACAGCGCAATATATGGTGCACAAGTATGTTATGTATGTGTGTT